AATATTATAAATGCAAAAGTTAAGATAGATGGATGGATAGATGTTTGTAGCCTAAACGGTTGGACGGATTTCAATAAAATTTGGCATAGCTGTAGAGGATAGTCTGGAATAACATATAGACTACTTTCGTTTTTTCTAATTCCGAAGTTGCGGGTTAAAGCTAGTACGAAATAAATATAACACGCTTAAAGATCCGTTTTCTACGCTGACGGTGGAAGAGACGTAGATAAAGTGGATATTTCTCCTTCCTATACGTCTCCTCTGCCATCGAATACACTTTCCCTTCTCATCTTTTCCTTTAAAAAAAGTGGTGAGGGAAACGGACTAAAGTAAGGCGTTCGTTTAAAACAAACAGTGTAGCGTCCTAGTGACATCAATTTTAGCATTTTTTATTAATTTTTTGGTACTTCTGATATTAAAAAATATAGTTAAAGAAGTGCTCCTTTTTACTATAATAAGAAATAATGAATAAAAAGTTCTTTAGTTCTAATTGTTAAAAGTAGATAACTATTATGGTCTTCTCTGTCATTAAAGTCCAGTGAAATACTTCCATTAAGTTGGCAAGTTCTTTGCATAACAAGTAACTTATTCAATGAAGCCTTTAAGCCAATGGACCAAAGTTAAATGTTCAAAATTCAAACAAAAGGCGATCTGAAACTTTAGTAATTAGTAGTAAGAAGCACTCATTTAAAATCTCGCAATTATTTTTTTCAAAGACAACATTTCTGACGTTCTAGAAGATGTTTTATACAGTAAGGGATTGCGTTTATTTTGATTAAGAATCTAAATTTCGATCAAATTTTAACATCTGTTTGATTGTAAACATGAACATTAAACACTTCGCTTACTAAACGCCACTTGTTTACGTCGCGTAGTGATGGGACTCGAGTTGTTTTTCACTCGAGTGACTCGAGTAACTTTTATATTACTCGGACTTGAGTGAAATTTTTGACAACTCGAGTTTCGAGTGACTCGAGTTGACTCGTAACCACTCGGGTGGTTTATACCGAGTCGAGAAGGAAATTCTCAAAGCAATTTCAGTTACATTTGCTATCTTTCTTAAAAAAAACTTAGTAGCTTTTACATTAATGCAAAAATGAATTTTCTAAGTTGAATTTATTAATTTTAATATTAAAACAATATTTTGTTGTATTCGTTTTAAAATTTCAGTTATTCGAATTTTATGTTTTTCTTTTTTTACTTTTTTATTTTATATTTACAAATTTCTCTACTTTGTTATGTTAATTGATTTTTTTATTACTTAGTTTAGTTTTGTAGATCGTGACCAACCAAACTGATTAGTCACAATCCTTTCTGGAAAAATCTTAGTTTCTTTAAAGTAGGGACGGAACTTTAACGTCGTGCTGAACATCGACTAAGATAGAAATATATTGTATTCCTTCTAAAGAAATCACATCGCGATATAATATACAACTAGTGCCATCTATTAGTAAAGTTCAACATGTACATGAAGTGAGTTAAATAAACTTACTTGTAATACTTACATAAATACATATTCATTCATTCGTTCATCTATCGAGGCTTATTACTAAGTAATAAATACAAAATACAAATGCAAATATTTTATTGGTAAAAGTTATTTTTTACAGGTCGAAATGTTAAAATTGTTTTACAGATATTGTGAATGGAAAATAAGAATATCAAAAATTGCTCCACACTATACAGAGCTTTCTGAATTAGCTAGCAGAAGTAGTTAATATTCGACTGACTGATGTATAACATTGGAAAAAGTGCCATCTATTGGCTGTGTATTATAATGAAATTAAAATCGACTAAATATTTTGTAATCCTAAATAACACTTACTTATGGTACAAGATACTGGAAAACCAGTCTTTAATAGTTTTTATGAAGTTGAAGAATGTAAATATTATGTCACCTCCAAAATAGTTAATTTTTGTATAATACATATGAACGTCTAAATTATCTCAAATGATCCCCTTCCCTTCTAGCCTCTCCTAACGGGAATACGTCGAATTACCAATAACCCTGTATAATGCGACAGGTTAGCTGAGTTATTAAGAGACTAACCTAATTAATAAACTTTAGATTGGGTACCTGTACTGTAAGTATTCAAAATACAAAAAACACTGTTTATAAGCCTAACACTTGTACTTGCATTACTTGTATGTTTTAGAAATTGTAATTAATATTAGTAACAGAACCCTTGCGACAGACTTCGAAATGCGTTTAACAATGTCAAAGATTGAAAATTCAGATTGTGACCAAACCCATTGTTGATCACAATCCTTTCATGAAAATTTTTATCAGAAGTGGGATACGAGTAAACAGTATTAACAATATTAGAGATATTTGCGCGAACAAAACGAAATAGCGATGTAATCTACTACTACTGCCATCTATTAGCGGAGAACACCATTCGGAATATATGAAGATAAAAAACTTTTTAATCAAAAAATCGGTCCACTAGCGGCGGAGTTATGCCGTAATACACATAAAAAAACATACAGATGAATTGAGTACCTCCTTCTTTTGGGAAGTCGGACAAAAATTATTCGTAACTTCACATATCTGCAGATAAATTGAAAAATGTGTAAAATTAACAATCCGCGGTGGTCTAGCGTGGTTGGCAGTTTGATTTCAAATTATAATTTTATGATTTCATACGTTTATACTTTTGTAAGCTTAAAACTCAAGTTTACCTTTAATTATAACGTTTAGTAATTTGGAACATTGTATATAACGGAGTTATCTTAAATGAAAATATAGCAGAAATCTTTCCACCTACTCTGGTCGTTCCGTTCCGCTCCTTGTTCGACACGCTGACTGAGTTTGTTTTACTCCGGAACATAAATTACACCGACTGTAACTGGGAGCTTTTAGTGGCATTTGCTACACCACGTAAAGTTTCACTAACTCAACCTAAACTCGTGTATCTATCAAAACGTGAAAAAATCCTAGATTTTTAATGTTGCATAAGATAAGTCTAACGCTTACTTGGGATTACTGATGTTACCTATCTTTTTAGGTTGGGGAAAAATGCTCATCTTTGATCCTCTTCCCACGCTTTTTCTAATAAGAATAGGGTAAAATGGGCTTCGGAGCTCAGATAAAGCATAGAATTTTACTATTTTATTATTTTTTTTTATCTTCTTTCCTCCGTCTTTCATGATTCTACATTTTCTATTGGTTTATTAACCTCATAGTGACTTTAAAAATACTAAACTAGATTACTACTAAAACTCAGAGATATCAAAACTTTTAATTGAGTAGTGTTTCATAAAAGTTCGATGTTTGATCAAAAGAAAAGACAAACGTGCGGATGTTTTTGGGCGATTAAGCGATCCGTTGCTCGTTTGCCCGCTTTTCCTATAAAAAAAACACTTATCCCACCAATGCCTCCGGACTTCGCTCTCTGGAGGCCTTTTTTAACCTTAGGTACTTTAGATTAGGATGCAAAATACAAAAAAGTAATATTGTTAGCCTAAGAGACTGTCCCACCGAATTGTAAATTATCTGATAACAATCTAACGTGTAAATTAAGTGATGAATATATCGATTTGTTTCCGTGACAGTGACGTCATTTTTTAGCTATCTGCCTCTATCAGCCAGTGGTGGGAAAGGCCCTAAGACTTTTTGTTTTGTATGATTAAGACTTTTAGAATTAAAATTTGTAATTGCAACTGAATCTTCTACTAGTTACAAATTTCTCCGTATCCTAAACGATAGATATCGACTATCGTATTTTTGTATTGTAAAGTTAAAAATTGGAGGGCTCCGTTACCACTGTAGCATTATAGCATGGAGTGGAGTGCATTTGTTTAACGCCATCTATTGCCAAAAAGCAACAACAACTGAAATGATTTTAAGTTAAAAAATATGACGACATTTGCAATTGTTAAATGTGGACTTTATACGCAAGAGCAATCGTTTTTCGTAACTGGTTAAACCAGCTCATTTAAGTTTTTTTTATTTCAAAATGAAAATCGTCAAATAAAATGTCAATTCAGTATTCATCGTAGTCAGTATAACTTGAATCGTTTGGTATATAGTATCAAATCGTCCCCTCCACGTTTGTTTTTAAAAATCAATTTTGTTGTTTTGACTGAAAGGAAAATTTAAAGTGTTTTTATTCGTAAAACAAAGTACTAAAGGAGTTAAAGTATTTAATGCAGCTTAAAACAAAATTAAAAATACCCGCAGAATCTCCAAGTGTCAAAAAATTATTCGTCTTCCGTTTTATTGATTTTTTATCTTTCTTGATATATTTAATTAAATTTCTTGAACCTAACATTAAAGCCGTCTCAAATATATTTAGTCGTTTTTTTAATGTTTTATTTGAAATAATAATTTGACGCCATATTGGTCCAACCCTAGTGGCATTACGAAGAGATGTATCGTCCAGATAACTAAAAAGGATTGCTTTAATTATAAATGCACAGCATTAAATTTAATTAATGAAATCTAATCGGCGATTTTTTTATAATGAATACCTTAAATTTTTAGATTATTTCAAGATACTTTATTCGTGTATGTAAAAACAGAAAACTTACGAGAATATTTTCCAAGACATCTCCAGCGGTAAAGTTGATATTGCATCTCGCTTCCTTTCTTCGAATAATTTCATACCAAAAATAAAAATGGCGGAATTGTCCATTATTTAAATAGTGTCGCAATCCGTCAAGTATACGTAATTAGTTACGAAAATATTTTTTTTAAATTGACCTCATATCAGTTAAGTTAAAGTTGGAAATAAGTTATGTAAGTTGCCCTAACCAACAAAATCCTGGCCTGAGGCGTGAGGGCGCTTTAATTAAATAGTTATAATTTCTCAAAATGGCGAGGGGTTTTTTCCTGGTTTGGCTATAGTTTATTAATTCAAAACAATCTAAAATTATCTAGGAAACACACGGTGTAATAAGTTTTTTCTAATCTAAATTGCATATTTTTGCATCATATAGATTATAAGAACGAAAGAGAAAAATCTATAAAATGTCCTTTGGTAACAACATGGCAACATTGGACAAATCAACAAGCGGCCCGTGTTGAGGTCGATCTTCTTTCTTAATTATTGTTTGTAATACTTTTCGATAAGTTTAATGCAGCCCTAAATATTACCTTTCATCTCTTGAAGATATTTGTATTCATCTTTTATCTTTTAAACGTAGGAAATTGTGTTAAGAAAAGATTTATCGGAGTGACAGATGTTTCAGTGATAAATCGCGCCAGTTTTTGACTAATTTCATAAAAAAAACTTAAAAATGGAAGAATCGACTGTCCAAAATGCATCTGATGTTGGTACTGAAAACCAAGTAACAGGTAGTGTTCTATTTTCATAATTAACTTAAGAGAAAGAAACGCGGTTTAGTTCTGATTAACCGACTAAATTAAAAGTGCGTCGTAAGTTGTAAGGAGGGAGTCAATTCAACGTTGCCGCCAATTTTGGATTGTGGATTACATTTTCCACAACAAGTTTGAACTATAATTGGTTAATAAATTAAACAACAAGTCTTGTAACATTTTATAAAAGCAAGAATAACAAAGTGACATGTTTGTATTGGAGTGCCTATTTAATTTGGTATCATTATACGAGAACTAAACATTACATCCGACGATTAGTATAATAACCATGAACATAAAATAAACACTATCTCATAAGTGATCAATATCTGTAATTATAGACTACAGTTCTTTTGTAAAACTACGTATAATAAGTGTTAGCGTTCTCAATCCTCTTCATGAGTTACGATATTAAGGTTATTCGTGTTAACTACGTCTTTATTAAATATTAATACATCGAATGCATATCTTATAAGTTTAAACAAATGAACAATAAAGCCAGATAGATGTTATATAAGAAAATTTCCATTACATAAGAAACTACTTATGTAGGATGAACAGGGTAACATCAGATTCTTATTTACTTGTATATGTACTAGGCTAGTCATTCAACCGTTCCTTATGTTACACATTTTAATTTTAAAAAATGCTAGCTGTTGCCTGCGACTTCGGCCGCGTGAAATTCTAAAATAAAAATACAGACTATGTTACTCACAGATAAATTACCTTCCTAATGGTGAAAGATTTTTTGTAATCAGCCCAGTAGTTTTTTAGTTATTACAATATGTTCAAAAATACAAATCTTTCCTCTTTATTATATTAGTATAGATAACAATTCTTTATTAACAAATCTGAGTGGTTTTTTAATCTGTCCGATCAGCTTAATTTAACAACCTAATAAGAGAAGTTCTTTATCAACCTCAATAATGGGAAACAAATTCCAATTGGGCTGATCGATTGGTGGGCCAATTGACCTAATACAGTAGGACCTCAATAACTCAAACCTCTGTAACTTAAAAACCTCTATAACTTAAAAAAATAATATGTTCCCTTCCCATCAGAGCTCAAAACCTCTATAACATAGACCCTTGATAACTTAAAACCTCTATAACTTAAAATATTTTCTGCCTTAGACTTTAACTTATCGAGGTTCTACTGTAACAAATATACCAAAATCTTAATATTGTTTGTTTATTACTTTCAGGTCCGGTTGTGGAGAAGGTAGATGTCACCTTGGAAGCCGATACTTCCCAATCCTTGTTTCCCGAGAGTCCGGTGTATGAACCTGATGAAGTAGACACTGGAATCCTGGAGGTATGCTGTATGAAAAACAGAACATTCGTTTTTTGCTTAGTTTGTAATGCTAAGATGGTTCTTGTATAGATTACTAGCTTTCACCCGCGACTCCGTCCGCGTGTTATTAAAAAAAAACAATAGTAAGTAGCCTATGTGTTCTTCCAGACTGTCCTCTACATCTATACCAAATTTCATAGAAATCCGTTCAGCCGTTTAGGCTACAAACTAACAAACATCCATCCATCTAAACTTTCGCATTTATAATAGTAGTATGATTGCTGCTGTGTAATTTACATCTTGTTTTGTGTTTTTTTATAAACTTGAAAGAACTGTAGATTTGGATATCTATTGTATGTGTTGTAATTAATTATATTAATATTTTAATATTTGTCTATAAAAAATTTGCATTACAAACATACTATAGTTTACATCATACTAATATAAATGCAAAAGAATAGATGGATAGATGGATGTTTGTTAGAGTTTGTAGGCTAAATGGCTGAATGTATATCAATGAAATTTAGTATAGATGTAGGAGATAGTCTGGAAGAACACATAGGCCCTTTAGTTTTTTAACACCACGCGGACGAAGTCGCGAGCGAAAGCTAGTTTGGTATAATTTTATGAGTACTGCAACATTAAAGTATGTTATGTACTTTTGACTTTCAAATAAGAATGTATGTTATTCTGATTACATTGAATATTATTTATAGGTTTTTGTTTTGTATGTATTGTAAAAAGTAAATTAAAAAACTCATACTCTTACCCATAGTTACCCATTACTTAGGAATTTTAAGTTCTACAATCTCACAGAATGTTGGCTAAAATTAGGTATTTCAACTAATTCTCCTTTTGATGTAAATATGTTTGTAATTTTTAAATGTTATTTCTACAGAAGGAGACTGCACTGGAAGAATCTGAAGCTGCAGGTATATATAAGGCTAATAAAATAATCATTTATTGAATGTATTACTTAATTCTATTGATTATTAAAGTTAAAACTTTACACTTTACAGGTGATCCGCCAATAACAGTGAAAAGAAAACTATCCGACGAAGTTCCTGAAAGTGATGCGAAAGTACAGAAATTAGAAATCATAGATATAACCGATGAAACTATGATATCCACTCAAAATTTAGACGATGAGGTTTCCGAGATTACTTCTGTTCAAAAAGAAGTAAAACCTACCTCTAGATTGTGTACCCCAGTTCAATCAAGTCCAAAGATAAAACGCAGCAATAGTGTTGAAGTTCAAACTATAAGTTCACCGAAGGTAGCAAGATCTGCAAGTGTAGATATCACTAAAACACCAAATAAAGCAACAATTAATCTACAAGAAGTCCTAACCGATTCCATACAAACTATTAATACGGACTCATACAGTCCAAGACCGAGCGTTGAATTTGTCGCTGAAATACCTCCAATTAATATACCAGAGACAATTGTTGAAGAAGACTCTGAGATTAACGATTCACAAGATTTCCATTTAGAACTATCACCTACTTCTGATATTGAGGGAATGGAAAAACCAGAGACTAAAACTCATTATAATAGTGATCCAGTAGTTAAAAGTACAGAAGAGATTTTAGATTCCGGTAAAACTCAACCAATAAGAAGCGAAGGATTTAATTACTCCGATTTGAGTAGCAATTTATCTCAAACAATCCCTAAAGGTAAAACTACAGACCAAGAAAGCACAGATAGTGCTTGTTCTGTAATCTTAGACAGCCCTGAACATCTACCTAGTGTCCCTTCTAAACTCATTTCTAAATTATCCAACGGAAACTCTTCAACACCAACGGAAATAGCTCATGTGAAAAATGAAGATAGTGATGGTACACCTGATTTTGTTAAACTAAACGGTAGAAAATTGAAAAAAGGTAAAAATGAGTCATTCAGAGCAAGTAATGCGACCACACCTTCAACAATATCACCTCTACAAAATGGCCACTCGTTACCAATAAGTACTCCACAAATACCAGCATTTGATATCCACGTAAGCCATAATGAGGATTTTGAATTCTTATCATTGTACATTGTTAGAACAGACAATGATACTGGAATAGAAATGTGCAAAGAATATCAAAGGATTTCGAAAAAGTTCTCCATAGATCCATATTTAGGTGATGTATCTGTTAGTACATCACCATCAAGTGTTACCAGTGCGGGAATGATAAATCTACCTAATAGGATCTCTTTCGCATCTACCGTTAGTTCATCATCAACTTCAAGTAATAGAACTAGTGATGGTGCGTTTGTAGTTCCCCAGCCACCGAGGAAATCAATTTCAAACCCGAGTGTATCAGTCATAGGATATGATGCCCTAATGAAGAAGTTACAAGATATATTTTCGCATCTCCGTGATACTTCAATAGATGAAGGCAATCGTTCTTTAGCTGAAGATAAAATATCCATTGGCATACAAACATCTACTGAAACCATCAGTAATGGAAATGCAAGTCCCGATGAAGTCAGTAAATGTGATAAAGCGACACCAAAAAGCTCATTAAAAAAGACTCGAGTTAGGGGTCGCAGACATATGGGCAATAAGACCAAACGGGCAATCTTACCAACACAAAATGAAGAACCAGAACACATGCATGGTATGAATTCACCAGAAATGGTCCCAACTAACGGAGATAGTGGAAAAATATCCCCTATAAAGTCTCCTAAAGATGAAAAACCTTTATCAACTTTAGTAGGAACCCCTAAATCTATTAGTAAATTGAAACAAAAACGTCGTCCGACTTCCCCTAGACCGGCCACTCCAGTAGAAAAAGTTATAATAAAACCTGAATATCCCGGCTACCCTCCAGATACGGTAGTCTTAGCTAAATGGGTGGACAAACGTTATTACTCCGGCAAAGTACTGGAAATTACGGAACCTAACAAATATTTAATTAAATTTGATGATGGACAGAGTAAAGTGCTGTTGGATGAGTTTATAATTTTTGGTGATTTGAAGAAATTACCTTTGCAAGGGCAATCGGTTTATGCTCTGGTAGATGAGGAACAGAACTATGAGCCGGGGCTGGTGCTTGGTGTTGAAGAGAATGATAATGGAACTGTTACTTATAAATGCACTACTGATGGGTAAGTTTATTACAAAGGACTCCTTTTCACTCATTTTCCTCTCAACATATGTTTTTGAGAACAATTGATATCAGTTTTTCTCAAAAAATTACCTCTTGATATTCCTGAAAATAATACAAACTGATTGATACTTCATTCTCAAAAATTGTTACAGGAATTGTTTACATTGTTTTTCATTATAAAACTGAATTTAATCAAATCTTAGATAATTACCAGAATTAAACAGTAAATTTTCACAACCTCAAATATATAATCTTACTAATATTACAAATGTAAAAGTTTGGATGGATGGATTTTTGTTAGAGTTTGTAGCGTAAACGGCTGAACGGATTTCGATGAAATTTAGCATAGATATAGAGGATAGCTTTGAAGAACACATAGGCTACTCAGTTTTGTTTTTAATCCCACGTGAACAGAGTCGCTGGAAAAAGCTAGTTTATTTTAAAATTGAAAACAACGCCATCTAGTGGTGAAAAAAATGAAACATAATAGCCAGTTTTTCCATTCCAGTATCGACACAACAGTAATGGTGACAGCCAGCGAGTTGTACCTGACGGAGGACCAGGCGCGGGCCATAAAGGAGACCTCGAGGTCCCGCTCCCCTGCCGCGCCCGGCACGCCGCGGAGGAGACACAACAGGGAACTGGACCTCGATAATATTATACAGGTAATCATTGCAACTTCATGCCCTTTACCCAGATGGGTAGGTAGAAACTAAACCTCCATTCCTTCATTCATACATCACTTGATTACTTTTTAAATTTTAATCATAATTAATAAATTCATTTTAATCTTTAAACAACATAAGTACAGTCTAATTCCTAAAGTAATGACAAATTTACGGATATAAGAAAAAAAATTGACAAAATCTTATTCTGTTATTTTTTTTTTTAAATTTACGTGAATCGGAAAAAAAATTGTGGTATTCTGACTTCAAATATATTTACGTCTATATCCCTTTATGGGTTTGAACAAGTAATTTCTTCCACCTCATAATGGAAGCCATTGTTCTTTATTTATATGAGCTATATTGCTAAATATATTGTTTTTTTTATTATCTATTTATTTTATTTTCTTTAAAAAACTAATATTGTATTGAAATAATCTATTTCAGGGTCCACGGAGCGCTCGCAGTCGAGATAAAGGAAATTCTAGCGCAAGGAAACGTGTCGCCTCTCCTAAGAGTCCTAAAGCATCTACTTCAGGTATGTAGAAACATTTTTTTTTAATTTACTAAGCAAAAATATGAACATTTTCATTAAAATATATCATTTACTTAACTATATCTTGTTGTAAATCAAATTGTTAATAAATATCGTATATTTTACACTAAATGTTCACATACCAAATCCCTTTTTTTTTTAAATTTAAGTCCATAAATTTGCATCCATATTTTACAAATATACTGTAATATATCTTAAAAATATACAGTTGGAAAAATATCAGTTTAAAGTCCGCTATGACGAATTTGATGTTTATCCAATCTCTATATATAAATAACATAACCTAAAAAACCAAAAAGCCCTATTAACTCAATTTAATAAGTGAACTTAATAAAAAAAAATTAAAAACCAGAAGAAAAAAGGTTATAGCAAAAGAGATTTGAATTTTTTTTCACTAACTTCTCGAAATTTCAATTCTTATAACGAATTAGTTGTTTCTCCAACCTCCATACATAATTCCAATGTTCAACTGATTGGTAATTAACTCTAGGTGTGAAGACAAAAAGCACTCCAGTTAGTAGAAAGCGTTTAGCGAGTGAGAGCAGTGAGATAAGTGAGAGTTCTAACTCTGCTCCCCCCACACGCCTGGAGGAAGTCGCGGGAGTGGAGCCCGAGGTGCAGAGGACTCCGAGGAAGATTGATGGAGTCAAAGGTATTAAGATTTTTTATTTTAGTAACATTTCGTTAATTTTTATGGAGGCATTTTGTTTCCTACAACATAGCTTTACTTAGTTTGCTTTGTTGATTTTCTTTATTTACTAACTTTCGCCTGCGACTCTGTCCACGTGGAATCATAAAAAAAAACTAAGTCTATGTGTTCTTCCAGATTACATCTAAGCCAAAATTTCATCCAGATCCGTTTAGGCTATAAACTCTAATAAACATTCATAATTATTAGAGTTTATAGCCTATTTGTAATATAAAAGATTCTCTCGCAAAATACATGTTAACTGTGGAGTTGCGGATACCGTAGCCCCTACTACTTACTAAGTGTTAAGAACAAAATTAGTACCGTGCTGTAGAATTGGCGCAACTCTAGTTTATCGCCATAAACGTCACGTCCCTAACTGACAGCTGTCAATGTCACTAGAAGTATGGATAGATTGGTGCGCATCCTAAGTCCTGACGAGAAGTGTTGCTCTGAGTTTAAAGGGACAGTATCATTTAAATAAATTGCCTAAAATAAGTTATTCTATTTTTTTACATATTCCAGCTGGTCCTCTACAACTAAAAGGCGCGGCGAAACAGAACATCGGTAAAAAGAACTCCAAGCTGACGAAGTTCGAGAACGACGCGGACACGTGCAGCACGCTCGGGCCCATCGTGCGCGACACCAAACTGTTCGAGGGACAGCACTTCCTGCTGACCTGCACTGACACACCTCGACGAGAGGCCATGCCCAAGGTAATTATTACTTATTTCAATACATATTAGTATATATAATAGTATTTATAATAAAGCGTAAACACATTTCTTTGTTGCCTAAGATATCAGCAATTACAGCATATTTTTGAATAATTCTTTTTTTAATAAAAAGCCCTACACTTGCGTCAGGCTTTAGGCTATATATTTTAACGCCGTTAAACTTAGGGGGTAAATATTTTGGATAAAAACCCTAATGTGGAAAAGAGAAAGTTGCTGCCAACATCAAGGAAGCAAGATTGTCAAGGTTTGTCATGTCATGTCATTTTGACATTTGCTATTGACAAATGTAAACAATAAAATAAAAATTTCATAATTTCATGCGGATGAAGTCGCACGGGAACAGCTAGTACAAAAATGCAAATCTTTCCTCTTTATAATATTAGTATAGATTAACTTAAAACTTTAAGAAATGTTACTTTCATAGATGTTAGTTACTTAATTTATCTCTGAGATTGGTAAAATTTATGTCGATCACATTAATCAAAGTTATGGCAATCACATTGGTCTAAATTATGTCAATCATTTTTGACAATTTGATTGTTGATAAAATTTATAATACTTTCGTCCATAGCTTATACTTATGTATCGACGAGTTTGGTCCAACAAATGTATATCAACCATGTTGCCAAAATTTATGTCAATCGTTTTTGTCAAACTTATGTTATTCATATTGATCAAACTTATTAATCACTGGTCATACTTTTGTCAATCACTGATCAAATTTATGTCAATCATTGGTCAAACTTTTATCAATCATTGGTCAAATTTTTGTCAATTACTATGTATTTTTTGTTAATTAATTTGTCATTTTTGTCACTCACTGGTCACACTTTTGTCAATCATTAGCCAAATTTATGCTAACCATTGGTCATTCTTTTGTCACATTTTAATTCGAATCTCCTTTTTTAATATTTAATATGTTTTTTTTGGTCTATAAATAGTTTTTTAGTTTTAATGACTGTCTACTTGTAGTTGGAGAGTCGCCACTACTCGTCGGAGGAGGAGAGCGAGGCGACGTCTGCGGTGGGCGGCACCGACACCGAGGACCTGGTCTTCTGCGACAAGCCCTTCAATAAAGAACGACTCAAGGAACAGCTGGAGGCTGGCGGGGGAATTGTACACAGGTAATACTTTAACCCTTTATAAGTCATAAGGAGTGGACAGTGGAAAAATAAAAGTTATTACAAAAATAGTAGTAGTAAAAAAATCATAGTGGTGAAAACATCACTTCTAATATTATAAAGGGTTAAACTAGCTTTTGCATGCGACTTTCTTAAATTCTTAATTTTCTTAATTAAAAAAAAATTAGTAGTCTATGTGTTCTTCCAGACTATCCTCTAAGTCTATGTCAAATTTCATCGAGATCCGTTCTGTCGTATAGGCTACAAACTAAAACAAACATCCATACATCTAAACTTTCGCATTTATACGATGTCGTTTAGATTTTTCTGCTATTATTTCCCTTTGTAAAGTTTTTAACAGTGATAGTTCCCGTTTTAACAACTTAGCACTGTAGCGCCGGCTCGCCCCCAGTAACACCACGACCACACAGAAGACAGGTGTGAAGTGGAAGCAATTCCGAGTTTTGTTTGAAGTGGATTTGACGGTGGAGGAGATGCATAGGAATGGGAAGTATCCGCTTTATGTGCGTCTCCTTCTCCGTCTTATAAGTTTAGGCAACGCATTTGCAATTGCGGATGTTTATGGGCAGCGGTCGCTTCGCTATTTTGGCGGATTCAGGTGACCGCAGGCTCGTTTGCCACCTTATCTATACTATTATAATAAAGCGTAAACACACATTTTTTTGTTGCCTAAGATCTCAGCAATTACAGCATATTTTTGAATAATTCTTTTTTTTTAAAAAGCCCTACACTTACGTCAGGCTTTAGGATATATATTTTCACGTCATTAAACTCAGGGGGTAAATATTTTGATAAAAACCTTAGTGTGGGAAAGAGACCATACAATACGAGCTGCCAACATCAAGAAGCAAGTTTGCCATAAAATTTTCATAATTTTATGCGGATGAAGTCGCATGGGAACAGCTAGTGTTATAAAAAAAACAGTAAAGTGTACACTTGTACATTATATTAAAAAAAATCAGGTTTTTAATAGTTAAATGTTTGCAGTGACTTCGAGCTGGTGCCGAGGAGCAAGTACGGCGTGTGCCGGCTGATCGCGCCGCGGCCCTGCCTCACCGCCAAGTACATCCAGTGCGTGGCGGGCGGCGTGCGCGCGCTGGCGCACGGCTGGGTGGTGGCCAGCTGCCAGCAAGCCAGCAAGCAGGACGAGGACGCGTACGCGCTGCCCGCCGGCTGGTCCATACTTAAAGATGCCTTTATTAATTGGGTAAGTTTTAAAAAATAAACAAAAACTGGGCATGTATTTTTAAATAATAAAAGTAAAAAAAACTGGGCATGTATTTTAAAAAATAATAAAAGTAAAAAAAAACTGGGCATGTATTTTAAAAAATAATAAAAGTAAAAAAAACTGGCATGTATTTTAAAATAATAAAAGTAAAAAAAAACTAGGTATGTATTTAAAAATCATAAAAGTGAAAAAAAAGGTATCTGTTTGTTAAACTGGACATGCAATTTAAAAAATAATAAAAGTGAAAAAAGAACATTTACAAAAAATGTTAATAGATATTTATTTCTAATACTGTCGTTTATAATCTAAGGATATGTTAAAAATATTGTCATCTCTATCACTATATTCACTACCAGAACTAATTTAATTAAAAATAAAAAAAGTGTCAAGACCCTAGTTCTGTAGTTTTTATGATTGACCTATTCATAGTTCACAGTTGTTTATTGTCTTTTTACATGAAAACATAAATATTTCCAGGTGCCGCCATCGGGTAAACGCAACACAACATTCTTCAAAGACAAACTAATCCTGCTTTGCTGGGAACAGGACACATTCGTTAAATTCTGGGACAGAGTGTTATCACTAGCCGGTGCCACCACAAGGGTGGTCAACGAGGAGAATCTAAACATGTCCGGGGCTTTAGCCCTGGTCACCGACTGCGATTGCCCTCATGAGGTGCAGAACAAAGCCAACCAGGATAATATCCCGCTGGTTTCCACCACGTGGGTGGTGCAGTGCCTCATCGAAGCGAGGGTGCTGCCCCCCACCAGCCACGATAGGTTCTCCTTCATGTATACCGAGCTCGAATGATCCTGGGACTTCAAAAGGATCCTCGTTATACGTGATTTTTGACACTTAAGAGGTTTCTTTACGGTAGTGACGTTTATAGTGATAAGTGACAAGTGACAAGTGACAAATATAGTGTTAAGTGACAAATATAGTAGTAAGTGACAAGTGCTCTTTGACTATTTTCTCTATTACTTTACTATTTACTCTAAAACTACATTAATAAGTGATTTTTTTTTTATTTAATTATATTTAATAGCTTGATTTATTTTATGAGCGCAGTTTTTTGACAAAATTTGGTATGACTCACAATAATGGTTATTGTTTATTTAATTATATGAAAATATCAAAATAAGTAACAATATTGAAATCATTTATATAAATTATTAGGTTATCTGTCTGCTTATCTCAGATTATATATTTGTTACATCTGGGTTTTATTATACAGGGTACAAATATGAACCCTGACTATATTAAATTTTTCTAAAGTAAGGGGATATGGATTAATATTGTAATAGTTTATAGGTTAAATTATTAAGAGTCCCTTAGTATAGATTTACTATGAAAAATAGACAGTAAATTACTAAGGTTTGATTCTGAGTATGGCAGCTAATGTCCGTAATTAATTAAAATATTAGTAATAACCTTTTAAAGCTGAAATTGTTGTATTTTTAGTTATTGTATAGACTTGTATATAAGGGCTCTAATTATTATATTATAATATTAGGGTGAAATTAATCAATATATAAGATTTATAAAAATCTCAATCATGTAAATATTAATAATTTCTTGTTATATTAAGTATTGAAATTTGTTTTTTTCACTTGATATTCTAAGGTATTGATAAATTTAAATTACTGCTAAAACTATGCAATATTGTTTATTTAAGGTAAAGCTTGAATTGGCATTTTGAGTAAAAATTTGTTGTCTATGGCATGTTATATGTCAAATAATTTAAGCGTTATTTATAACTAGCTGTTCCCGTGGGGCTTTATCCGCATGAAATTATGAAAATTTGATTTTATTGTTTACATTTGTCAAATTATCAATAGCAAATGTCAAAATGACATGACAAACCTTGACAATCTTGGTTCCTTAATGTTGGCAACAACTTATGGTCTCTTTCCCACTTTAAGGTTTTTATCCAAAATATTTACCCCTAAGTTTAACGGCGTGAAAATATATAGCCGAAAGCGTGACGTAAGTGTACGGCTTTTTATTAAAGAAAGGATTATTCAAAAATATGCTTTAATTTCTGACATCTTAGGCAACAAAGAAATGTGTGTGTACACTTTATTATAATAGTAGATTAAAATAATGTCTATCATATAAAATATCATGATTGTTAACTAAAAGTAGACTGTTTCTATTATATTCCGGAATAAAAATACCTAACTGGTATTTTTTGTAATGGCCACCTGAATTCGCCAAAATAGTAACATCTCTATGGGTAATGGCAGACATATTTGTTGCCTACCCTCATCAGAAAAGAGACAATGCGTGCCCTCCCCTGCCAAATTAACTTGAATAAATTAGGATGGTGATCTCCGATATATAGATTTGTAATTCAAATTAAAGTATTTTTTATTCCTGGTCAGTATTATGCTAATTGTATTAACATTTTTGGACTTAATATCAATTTTAAAATAATTTATAAGTGTGATGTTAATTATTTACTTAAATCTAGACTTCAGGGAGGCCTATACTATATACTGGTTACATTTATATCAAACAAGGTGTAGCTCGCGACTTCTAGTGGAAAATAACACTTTTTACAGTGGAAGTGCCCCCTTCAACATCTTAGCACTGCAGGGCACGCCCTGTGTAATACCACGACCACACAGAAGACAGGCGTCAAATGGAAGCAATTCCGTGTTTCGTCTGATGAGTATGGTGCCGGAGGCCTAATTTAAGTCTCTTTCTCTTTACCATCCTTTTCTTATAAGGAGAGGTTGGGAAGGGGAAGTGGATTTGATGGTGGAGGAGATGCATAGGAAGGGGAATTATCCTCTTTATGTGCATCTCCTCCTCCGTCGTATAAGGGTGGGCAACGCATCTGAAATTGCGGATGTCTATGGGCAGCGGTCGCTTCACCATTTTGGCGGATTCTAGTGTCCGCTTGCTCGTTTGCCACCTTATGTTATAAAAAAAAATATATATATATAGCCTGTTCTCAGTAATAAAGTAACTTTTTAATAATGAAAGAATTTCAGAAATCGGCCCAGTAGTTTTTGAGTTATTTAAATTTATACAGAAACTTTTTTTTAATAATTCAAGTATAGAAACAGTATACATGTTAAAAGTTTATATTATTTTTCAAATTGTTTAATAAATACAGTTAGTAATTGCTTGATATCTAATATTAGTTGAATATGTTCTCGGCATTTAGTTTTCAGTATTTGATATATTAGGAATATATTGCTTATTTTTTTTTCTTTGCTTCTAACTACATCTACATTATTTCTTTCTTTACATCATCATCACCAGCTCACTATATGTCCCCACTGAGGGGTTCGGAGCCTACCCTAAGTTAGGTTGACTAGGCCATAGTCAACCACGCTGGCCTACCGTGGGTTGGTTGCCTTTTTTACATAGTTTGTGATATTTGATTTTTAAATAAGAACAAATCTACTTAAGATAAACTTGTATTACAAATTATTAAAAACATAAAATTTTCCTATAAATTTTTGTTTTCTAGTATTTATTTCATTTCTATAATAATTATAATTTTAAGTTAAGAAATCTATGCAATACTTTCATTGTAACTAAATTTTCATTGCTAATATACTTTTATTGAAACATATGTCTTAAGAAAATTATCTCGAAGGTGAGAATTATCTGCTACAAGATATTTACCTCTCCGGAGAACTTTATCTCTCAAGTGAAAGTTGTTTCTCAAAAAAAAAAAGATTTTGTCACTTTGAAGAGGGATTAAATATGTTTTCAATAGTGTAAAAATGATAATAACAAAGCTATAAAGATATGTAATGTTTATTTTTCTTTACATTTATATTGTTAAATAATGAACTTTTTTGTAGACCATACAAATGTGACGTCATCAGTCTTACGTTTTTAGTACATTTGTATTTAGAATATTTTAACTAGATTATTTTCATGCTTTAAATATACTGAAACAACATTTTTTGATGTAATAGTTAAAAATGCTGTTTTTTACATAAGTAAAGATTATCTTTGCAATACTTTTATAGGATTTTCATGTTTTTTTTCTGTTTAGTTGTAATTTGTATATAGCTTTTATTATTTTCGATATTTGTTATGACTTTAATTTTTATGAAATGTTTAAGTTTTTTTGCATTTCTATATGACAGCTTGATGTATTTCTCAATTTGTTTAATTTTGCTTTTGTAAGTATCTGACTGCTTGTGATGCATTTTTTGGATAATTTAGAAATGTGAACTGACATTGTTTATATAAATCGTGTATGTGAACATTAAATAAGTGTATAAAATATGTATTTAATTGTTTTATTTCACCTCTCATAAATTTACATTAAAAAAAGCACATAACATACTTATGTACATATATGTTTAGCATTGGAAACTGGTTAAAGTAATTTCGCCAACAGTATTTAGTTGCATAACAAAAAGGTAAATAACATGAAAAATCATTTAAAAAATTCCCGCTAAATGGAAGAATGTGGAATTAAGTTCTTTGTGACAGAAGCGCCATCTATTAAATGAATCAAAAAATCAGTCAACAAAGTAGAATGCTAAAATTATTATAGATGGCGCTGTTCTATATCTATGTTCAGTGGTTGATCTTCTCTGGACTGATAAGGTTCTCATAATTTCAAAAATTTGAAATAAAAATTATACTTTAACTAAGTAGTTTTTTAATTAAGTTCAACTAGAATACTCCTAAAATATCATTGTCTTTTAATTACGACGGCGGAAAATTCTTTGTATTCTGAGAATTTCTTTAGATTACAACCTGCTACTAACTAATAAAAATACTGAAATATTTTTTTTTACTACACTATAGATTACTGGTTTTAGTGCTGCAAGCACCCCGGACGAGATTTCCACATCACGCTCTCTACTAGCATTTTTAAAGGGGTATGAAACAGAGTGCGAGATTTTGCTACCCAGACTCTAGCTGTTTTCTGTACAACGCGTAGAGCAGCGTACCTCGTCGTACTCTAACACCGACCGCATCGCATGACAAAAAACAATTGCTTCATTAAAGTCAAAAGCCAGAGTTACAAATGTACATTAATTAAACATTCCTTTACCTCTAATTTGCATACAATACATGTCAAAGTGTACGTAACAATGATAATGCCATCATCCATTATCATCGAGGAATGAACGTGTTATTGACCCCGGGGGTGAAATGATACGAGTGTCATATAACAAAAGTGTATCATTTTAACCCTAGGCCAGCATAGGGCCAGGCTTAAAGGTTATTTATATAAAAGCATTTAATATAACCATGTGTGACCAGTTAAGTTTCAACAGGGTGGATTGGTGGTCGTCCAAGGATGCAGTGTTTATGGATATATGTGCTTGATGAATTTCTTTACTTAATTGAAGTGCTTGTGTACCCTATAATTCAATTTTAACTGCATTTAAGTAAGCCCAACGTGACAAAGTTATCCAGCGCCAGAAGACAGGCTTGATATGGAAGCAATTACGCAATTTGTTATATGAGTGTGCGTGCTGGAGGCCCTTTTATTCCTTTTAGGTCTAATTTTATAAAGAATGTGAAGGGGAAGTGGACTCTTTTCGGATGTCTATGTGGTTATTTGAAGAACCTATTGGATCAAACAAATTTGATCGTTTATAAGTTGCTAGTGTACAAAATTAGTTTGGAAATAAACAAATGACTTCTAGTATTTACTATTATATCGTCGTCATATATTATTTTTAAATACAACAGTTTTTGTCAAAAGCATGAATAGAAATTTACGAAGTAATAATTTGTCATACCAAAACAGCTTAAATCAAAACCTAAAGACGAATAGGAAATAATTTTCCTTATCAATACATTAAAAATAATGTTAAACATCAATTAAAAAAAACCCTACACAAAAAGCGAGTTCAAACTTTTCTAACATGAACTTTATTCGTAAGATAAATGATACGCAGATGAGAGACATCTAGCGGACATTAACGGAAAACGTGTTATCGTAACGCTCACGAAATAGTCAAAGTTTATCAGAATTGTTTAATTAACATAAACACAACGCTTATCTAAACGCATGATGAAATATCGAACGAATAAATTATCAAATCACGAATGGTACATTATTTTTTGAATGCAACGTGTTATTTTTAACCGATTTCAAAAAGGAGAATCTTAATTCTTTATTTTAATCAGTACCATGATTTTTTGTGTGACCTTATGTCGGTAGAGGGCGCTACAAAAATGTAATACCATGGTAACCTAATTATATATTTTTATTTTCTTTGCGTACCACCAGAATCATTCGGTTTTATTAGTATATTAAAATAATGAGTGCCTTGGATTTACTAAGAATCTTTGACCAATTATTAAATAGGTACCTATTAAATTAATATTTCTATATTAATGTGACGAAAATATATTTTTGTTTGTAATGAATTCAAAAAGTATTGACTGATTTCAAAAATTCATCATTAGAAAGCTCAATTTTCAATTAGAACATAGGCTGTATTTATTACTTGATTGTTCAAATTTTGACGCGTTCAAAAGATAGCAAAAAACATTTTCATGGAAACAAT